ATTAAAAAGTAAATATTATTAAAATTTTCAAACTGTACACAATAATTAAAAGTAAATATTATTAAATTATTAAAATTGTTATTAAATTATTAAAAATTTTATTAAATTATTAAAATTATTAAAACAAAATGTTCGTTTGCGTTCGTTGAGACGTCCACACTGCAATACGAGTACCAACATGAACGAACAATTCCCTTTGATGTACCGACAAGTTGCGAACATTGCTCGCCATGTTGTTTATGTTTGCTCGTGATCGTCGTGGCGTCCACACTATGCTGTTGCCGTTCGTTCTGGTACGTTCGTTTATGTTTGTTCGTTAGGTGTAGACGCCTTTACACAATTTCCTAGAACTGACCTCTTTCCTTAAAGTGTATTATGATTAGACTAATATGTCAATGCACTACGTAGTAATGTAGTAATTATGTCCTCCATATGAGTTTGAAGCTGTTTCTATTCATATTGTCAAAGGGCTATGCATTTGAGAGCAATTCCTGATGAAATCTTTATTAACAAATATACAAACACAAACGAACAAGAATCGCCATTTTGTAAACTTACACAAAAGTGACACTGACGTTTCTTAGTAACGACTAAAATATTTGAAAATACTTTTTCATCGGCTCACTAGCGCCAAATCTGCGACTACAATGGACCCCTAAGTATTCCTTCTGAACGAGGATTTTGTTCTAAGTGAAAAGGCCCTGGAGCGATCTATATACTGTTCTTTTTCTATGGAAGAGTGCTTGTTTCATGAGAAAGTTTGTTTCTGTCAACTTCACTCGAAACGCTAGCGACATATAGGATGACAGTTATATCTACTCTCTGATAGGAGCATAATTCACCTATGGATTCCCAAATTCTAATAATGTCATGTGTATAAGTGCTTTAGTAGATATAATATAAAGTTTAGCAACTCTTCTTGAAATTATCCGTAATAATAAATTTTAATATATGATTTTTAATAAATTTTAGTACATAATTTGGTTTCAGTTATATTTGTTTTGCATACCTTCCTTATATTTTATGACTTCAATGTACAAATCATTTTTCGCGCAAAATACCACAGAACAAGATATATAACTACAAAAGATACGGCGTAATATTTATACAGGTCTTGTGGCCATCGAACGCCGACATATGCAACATAACATTTACCATCTAAGAGATTTGTAAAATATTTTTAATAAAATGAAAATGGCTTGGAACCTCAAGAGGAAGGTTTGGAACAAATTCTAAAATTACTAAAAGCTTCACAATCACCTATAACTGAAGTTCAAAGAGAAGTGCAGCATGTATCCTTTTTATATGTCAACATAGGTATTTTAAAACTACACTTGTTTAATATATTTTTAAAAGCTTTTCCCAATGTTTTTTTAAGTATATAGCAAATACTATTAGTGATGTATAGTCCTTAGCAGCTATTACAGAAACTTGAAGAGTTGAACACATATCCAGATTTCAATAATTATTTAATATTTTGTGCTAACTAAATTAACTGCATGAGAAATGAATCACAAGATCTTTAGCGGATTAATACTCAAAAATAATGTCAGAGTAAGTGCAACAAAGTAGTTAACTAACAAAAATATTTGTGTTAATGCTTCTGAAACTATCTTACTTGTGCAGGCACATTTTCATAAATTCTTACCGATGTCGCAGAATTTATTAAACAAGAATGTTTACAAGCCGTGGGTGATCCATCACCTCTCATAAGGGCAACAGTCGGAATACTTATCACAACTATTGCCAGTAAAGGAGAACTAGGTGCATGGCCTGAACTTTTACCAGCCTTATGTCAAATGCTAGATTCCAATGATTATAATATTTGTGAGGTAATTGCTTATATATATATATATATATATATATATATATATATATATATATTTATTTATATATATATATATCATAGACCATAAAAACTGGTCATATACTGGTGTCATTTGCCTACCGTACATAAAAGATTTATATTTCTCGTGGAAAAAAACTATTTCAACAGTGTGGCATTTTGTTGGTATGTAATTGTGATACAACCCTTAGCTCAATTTTTACACAAATGAAATCTAAGTTTAATTTTGACTGCCTCAGGAACTTGGTATAATCAGATTAATTGCTCTAATTGCGAACTCTTTTTATATTGGAGAAACTAGCCAAAACCTGAGTAAACACCTTCATCAACATAAAAACAACTCAAAAATCCGAAGCAATTTAAAACTATGTTAACTAACTGAGCATATTAAAATTTAAACCATAATATAGATTTTTTCAAACCCTAAAATTTTATTTTGAATAAAATTACATTTTGAAGAGAACCTAATAAAAGAAGATTTGCTGAGGGGTTGTTTTTACAATTGCATAATGACAGGGTCATAAACAAACGCTTCGACAATACGGCCCTGAACAAAACAAACACGTGGTTTCTTAATAGCGTGTCAAAGTTTCTTAAAAAATGTGAAAATCCCATCGCTTTTTAAATTTCCCGTAAAATTTGAACACATGCTAAAACTGCTTTTAAGAAAAAATGTGACATTTCTATCTTAAACTCCGAAGAGTAAATACATAGTTTGATAACTTGTTAAATTATCATGGTTATTAGTGTGTTTTAATATTTGTGATGTTAAAAAATATATATCTTATCAATGTGCACATGCTCATACCATGGATTAATAATGGTTTCATATGCTATATTAGGATAGAAAATTGTAAGTGTTTTATTATTATTATTATTATTGTTTTTCTATGAAATTTCTTAAATATAACTTATTTAATTTCAATTTTTATAGTTAATTTGATTACCACTGATGGCTAAGATGTTAGCCGAAACGTATGGATTTTAAATAAATAAACTTTTAAAAAACTCTCATACTATTTTTATTGATGTTAAGCCCGAATTTTAAACTCAAATTAAACATATATATCAACATCAAATTCAAGACTATTTAAATATATATATATATATATATATATATATATATATATATATACCTAAGTCTTTTTGTACACGGTTTTGATATAACACGGTTTGAAAATTGAACATTTATAATTTTTTTACACGAAATTATTCCATTTAGCACGATGTGAAATTTTATGTACCTAAATTTTTTTTGTCAAATTAAATTTTTGCGAAGTATGTTCATATCACAAAAAAGTATTTATGAAAGAAAAAAGTCTGAAACCATCGATAGTATCGATAGTTTGCGAACACTAGCTTAAAGATTTAAGTGAATTCCCCTTTAGCGCGTACAAACAATTTTTACTGGTCAAAGCAAATGTGAATAGCACTAATTTAGGGGAATTATTATTAAAATAAACATGAATTCTTGTTCTTGAAAATTCTTGTTTTTCACTAATTTTAATAGGTTTTAGAGATTAGGAACAAATCACCCATTTTTGTATAAGATCAATGTCTTTTTTTACACGTTTTTTTTACACGGCTTCTTCTGGAACCAATCCACCGTGTAAAAACAGACTTAGGTGTATATACATATATAAGTTGGGTGTTACATTGATAAAAAATAGTATGAAAATTTTTAGAAATTTATTTAAAACGCATACATTTTGTAATCATTGCGGAGTGAATAATTGTCCAGTCTCTTGTTGATTGCTTTATTGCTTAACGATATTAGAAAACCTTCACTAAATCTTCTTTTGAATATATTGGTTGCAAAATGTAAAATACTCGTGTTTAGAAAATCAATGTTATGTTGAAGGGTATTAACATTACATTGGCGAAACTAGCCAAAATTTACACAAAAGAATCTCTCAACATAGAAACTCTCAACATAGAAATAGTTCAAAAAATAAAAATCGGTATAGAACAATGCTTTCAGAGCATATTAATGCCTGAGCATAACATTGATTTCCTAAATTCTAGTTCCAAATTTTAACTGTTTGTTTAGAAAAAGGAAATGGTTAGACTGATCGTCTTGTAAAACTAATCATCGCTAATCATTATCTAGTTTCATCGAATGTTATTCAACTTTTTTAAATCAGTTTAGTTGTTTCTCATGAAACTCGACATAGGTTGAAACGACAATGGCCCTTAGACTTAGTCTTAGATTAGGTCTAATATATCATATTAATTGTAAAACTGAGAAGTTCTTATTGGAGTTCTCCTTAGGCATCACTCATAAATATTGTCATTTTAGCTCATAGGAATCTTTATGTATTTCTGATTGCTAAATAAAACTGAGTTAAAAAAAAAAAAAAAAAAAATAATAATAATGTCCAATTTTGACTCATGTCAAAAAAGCGCGGCGCATTTTTTCAATACTTTGGTGGTTTTTAAAATTAATTCCACGATATTCTTCAAAAACAGTTTCATAAAAATCATCGAAAAAATATTTTAACAATCAATCAATTGGCTAAAATTGGATTTTTGGTTAAAACCTGGACGAAAAATTTTACTTTTGTGTAATTACAAAGAAACGGCTCGGCCGATTGTTAATCACTGTTAATAAATTCTAGTTCTCATTGAGTTACATTGAATAGCCTTTAATTTTTTAAAATCAGTTGAACAGCTTTTATGAAAACGTTCACGAAAGGTGAAAAATCGCTCTTATATATTATATACAAACACAAACTTCAAATACACATCTTTATACTTTATACATACACATTTGATCTCAAATGAATAAGGATGTTTTTAACGATGAAACATACAATTAGCAAGTCGGATTTTTTTGTGAAAACAAAGTGTTTCTTCGGAATGTTCATATACTATTTCTACCTTTGACAGTTGTTTAGTAATTATTGAGACTTTTCGATATAATTACTCTGTCTGATTTAAATTATTCAATTTTTTGTTTGGTTCATTAATATTCGAAAGGCCTTTTTGGCATACTTAATTAAGTATGAAATTAAGTCAATTTTAATAAAGAAACATAATTTATGTTTATTATAATTACAGGGTGCATTTGGAGCTTTACAAAAGATATGTGAAGATTCAGCTGAATTTTTAGATAGTGATGCACTAAATAGACCTTTAAATGTCCTCATTCCAAAATTTCTTCAATTTTTTAGACATACAAGCTCAAAAATACGTTCTCATGCAATAGCTTGTGTTAATCAATTTATTATTGGTAGAGCTCAAGCGTTGATGTTACACATAGATGATTTTATAGAGGTATGTACTAATATTTTTTGACCTCATGTGTTTGTTTCAATGCAATACTTGAATTAGATACTTATTTTTAGAGTCTTTTTCACTTGGCTTCTGATGAAGATCCTGAGGTAAGAAAAAATGTCTGCAGAGCCCTTGTGATGTTATTGGAAGTTCGCATGGACAGATTGATTCCCCAAATGAATAACATAATAGAGGTAAAGTCATAAAAAAAAATTAGTAATATTTCTAAATTCCATAAATACCAGTTTAAGCTGTGTAAATGCTTATATAATTGCTCATATACTCAGCTCAGGTTAATAGTAGACCCTTGAGTTCACTTCTGATACCATAAATTAATCCTGGATTCAACAACTCTTAGTTTTTTTTTAATTTTTTATAATGTGGTATTAAATAATGCAACCCTAAATTTATTTTTTTATAGCCATTTCAGTAATTGAATGAATTTTCATTTCGCGTTCAGGCATTGAATATTTTTGACATAATTTTAGTTCAAATTTTTGAGCTTGAAGAAAAAGATTAAATTTTACTTTAAAATACAATTTATTATTATTAAGGGTTGTCTTAACCTAATACTTTTTTATTTTGGGGTCAACTTTTTGTTTTAGTTTTTTTTTTAATGCTTTTAAAATTTTAGTTAAATTTTTTTTTGAGTTTATGAAAATGCTTGAATGTTACTTTATAAAACAATTTATTTTTATTGGCCTGCCCTAACATTTTTTTCAATGTTGAGATCTTTTTTTTATTTTGAATATAATAAAATAATTTTTCACTGCTTCTTTCAGCCAGTGAGTGTTTTTTGTACTGAATTTTAATTCATATTTTTCAGAACTTGACAAAAAATTTTGTTTAAAAAAACAATTTATTCTACTCCTCCCAATTTTCCATTGTTTGAATATTTACTGATGCGCACAAACAGTATATAGTTGATAAACAGTTTTCATAAAGAGCAATTTTTGCAAAGAAATAGGAAGATTGGATATTAAATTCTAAAGATACAACAGCTCTTGATAGGGAACTAGGTACCATACAAATTAGGGAACTAAATACCATACAATCTCAGTCAATTTGTTGGGCACATAACAATATAATTTAAAAACGAATTTTTGGATTTTGCTTCGTAATTCAAAAATTACTGAATTAATGGAAGGCGTCAGTGGCGTCGGAACCGTGTGGGCTGGGCCCACCCATCGATCTCAAGTAATGATACTGTATTAAATATTGTAAAAAAAAAACACGAGCTAACCCATCAAAAATTTGCTTCCGACACCACCGGAAGGCGTAGTATAATATATCAAAATCTTGAAACTTTAAATGTGTCAATTAAATTTGAATATAATTGTTAAAAGGGTATGGGCCCCACCCTGGTATTTAAATAATTTTAAAATTAATTAAAAATATTTTACAAAGAAATGTTCCATATGCAGAATTTGCTCAGGTTTTTTCTACTTTTGGATGTGTTCTACCACATGAAATAAAACAGAATTTTGGACAATAAAAGAAAATTGAATACCCTTTTTAATGATGCTAATTAAAAATTAGTCCAAACAACCGCACTACCCGAAAATTCAAAACAAAAAATTATTTTCATGCACTAACAAATAATTATTAAACAATATTTGTTATTACAAATATAGTAGACATCGATATAAATATAATCCCGTTATTGGTTTGTTGATATCTTTCACCGTTGCGACAAAAAACGACTTTGAAAAAAGGGGCCACTTCCACACATTTTCAATGATATCTCGGCCAAATGATGAGCTACGGATTTGAAATTTGGTATATCGGATTTTCTCGAAAATACCCATAAAATGGCATCAAAATTATTTAAATACCAGGGTGGGGCCAATTCTGTATGGAAACACGCCCATACCCTTTAGGTATAATCGGTTTTTCTTTTTTTAATTTCAAAATTCATTTTTATTTTTTAATTTTCAAACATTTTTTTTTTTTGAATATCGAAAATATTTTGGATTTTGATCTCAGTTCTAGCTAAAATAATTTTAACTTTGCAATTCAGTTTATATAATTTTTAGAAATGAGACAAGATTCTTCATACTTCATGACTTCCACACTACTAGTTTTCCCTAAAATCCGAGCGGTTTGTAAACGAATGACCCATATATATAGTTCAGATATCAAACATTTCTGTCGTTTTAGGTTTTTATTTTTATACTTACAGTCGGTCAAGTAAGAGCGTGGCCGACTTTAACGACAGTTAATGAAAGATTTCGGTCTAATTCTTTCGTGAGCCAATAAAGTGAAGCTTTGTCCTTGATGCATTGTCAACAAAGGTTTAGTTGTCGTTGATCTTTTGAGAAAAAATCACGTTAAACGCCATGAGTGCTAAGTTACGCGTCGCGCTACGAGGCTGCGCCCTTTTGCATCCACCCAAAAGGTCCCCAATTGTCTAAACATATGAGAAAGTTGAAGGCATTTGTACAGAATTCGATACACCTATATAAAGTTGCTAAAAATGTCGATGATTTATCGGAACGTGGTTCAAATAAAAAAGAAGAAAAAAGAACAGTAAATGTGTTTTTGCGGCATCCTGCTTTAACACTGCAGCAAGAACGAGCAAAATTAATGGCAAAATGTTTAGTAATATCTACAAAACTATCTGAACCTTTCTTCGTATTCATGATCTGAAATGGCGCAACACAACGGGGAAGCCTCTGACGACTGAAAAACATGTGCTTCTTTTCCGCTTGGGCACATGAAAATATTGATAGAGATTTTGAAAATTCCATTTTTTACTGATAAAAGTTCTATATGAGCACGTACTGCCCTAATCGAGCCGGTAAATTAAAATACGAGCCGTCAGACTAGAATAATCCGTTAAATTAGTAAAAAGCAGGCGTCGGAGATGCCAGCCAATTGTCGACGCCGGTGGTGACTGGACAGATATTGACCAAATTGCATCATTGCTTGTAACGTATACAATGCATATATAAATATTAAAGTTTCATAAAATAATTATTTTTATAAATTAACACGGCCACGCTCTTACTTGACCGACTGTAGAATTTTTCAATAATACAATTATCAAGTATTTTACCAGTTTACAATCCTGATGAAATAACTTTTGATGAATCTTGCCAACGCATTTTAGTACATTTTTTTAAGAGAGGGCCTCTCAAAGTTCAAAAAATTTCAAAATTTCCAAAACATATACAGTAGGCCCTCGCTTTACACGGCACTCTGGGTGCACGGTTTCCATACTACACGGAGCTAAAAATCCGACATCCCTCCGACTACACGGACTTCTTATTACACGGTATTTGGTCAACAGCCCATAAGTTCGTTGTGCAAAAGGGTATTGATGTAAATTTTGTTATTGACTTTTATCTTTTAGACATGCCTGTTTATATAATAGCCGCCTAAGAACACGTTTGAGCTGACTACTGCGTCGCGCCAATTTTTGAATAAGGTGTCAATCGTGTCAATGTCATAAATGTCATTTCGTCCGTATTACTCCTACTTCAAGTGATATTTCTTGGTCTCCATACAGCGCGATAAAAACGGTGCGATTTGTACCAACTGTGAGTCTCTCATAGCACGGATCCCATACTGCACTATGTAAGGTTCCATAGAACGCACTACGAATTAGCCTGAATTGTATGTTAAATACGAGTTTCTTATAGCACGGTTCCCATACTGCACGGTACGCACTTGCCGCGTAAAGCGAGGGTTTACTGTACTTAAAAAAAACATAATACAATATTTTCAAAATATCATTTTTTTTTAAATTTAAAAAAAAAACATTTTCAAAAAAATCGAAAACTACTTTAAATTTAAAACTTTCAAAAATATACAAAATTTTAGGGGAAAAAAATTTACAATTCATTGAAAAAATGATCAAGTACTTATTTTTGCTCTTTTTATAGTAAATCTGTCAAAATGTTTTTTTTATGGATTATGAGAAATATTGCTGAAATGTATATTTATAATTAAATTTTTTAATATTTATTTTTTACTTGTTGTTAGGGCTTCCAATACCGTACAAAAATCTGAATACCGGTATAAAATTAAATAGTTATATTTTTACTTACTTCAGTTGTTATATTGACATATTAACAAATAATATATGAAATCTAACAAATATTGTCCTGAAATGAGTACATATTATTTATTTATTACATAAGGAGTAGAAGTAGATAGAAACAAAAAACGTGTCAGTAAAAAAATATATATTTTTCTATGTCCGTCTTTTTCAATCAAAAAATTATTCCAAACTCGAGTTACATCCTGTCCTTTGCGGTGCTCCGTAAATGTATTCATCTTTCACTGGTATATATTTATATATATATATATATATATATATATATATATGTATATGTCATTTAATTTTAATATTTTTTAATTACACACTATTAACTTTGGTTTATATAATCTTATATATAAAAATGGAGCTCTCTTTCAAATGTCCGAATAAAACTCGAAAACGGCTGAATCGATTTGGCCAGTCTTAGTCTTGAAAAATTCGTGCCAATCCAGAAAAAGTCCAAAAGGTGAGAAATTACTTCAAATTCGCGTAGAAACTTTACATTTTTAATTTGAAAATTTTTGTAGAAGCGTAATTTAAATAAAACAATGGACGGTGGCAATTTCGTGAAATGTCAAACGCTTTTGACAGATGATGTTCAATTACGTTTAATAGGATGTTTTACGCGAATATTATTTAATCATGATAAATTTGTAGTAAGTAGTTTTGTTTGTAGTTTTATTTATATACAAAAACGTTAGTAAACGGGCCGCAAGTGTTACTAGAGACTCAAAATATAAACTTTTTTGATATGTTAATATGAAAATGCACTTTTTGGCATATTTTTCTCAAACACAGTGCTCTGAAAGATCTCATTTGTATAATTATATACTCATTGGTATTTATAAAACATTTTCTAGGTTATATTATTTTTTATTTATCTTATTTAAATTCAGAACCTAAATTTGGTATCGATCAAATGACATTTTGTCGAATAACATTTTTCCAGTTATAATTTCCCAGAATTTATCGCAGAATAGATAGTAATATATGAAGGTCCGGGGTTAAAAAGGTCCACCACCGATGTGCCAAAAATCAGTAAAGTTAAGCATTGTTTAACAACAATATTTGAAAGTAGAGGAAAAAAGATGTATAGTCAGCTACAAACTTGATTTGAAAACGATAATCTTTGAAATGGGGGAGATAAACGGTAATCTTTGAAAATCCACAATAAAAGTATTTTCTCCCGTTGGTAGTTTTAGCATTAGTTAAAAATGTAATTATTTTGTAAAATACCTTTAAAATTATTATAAGGCTTTAAACTTTTTGCCACCTGCCCGTTACAAGTTACCCCGCATATAGGATAAAAAGGTCTAGATAACAAATTTTTGGAAGACATCAAAAAAGCACATTTCTACAATGATGAAGTAGAAGTCAGTATACTGAACGTAGTCAGATAATTGTTCGTTTGATATGTCTTATTTGTTGTGATATAATTGTTATGGTTTTCACAATATATTAGGGGGACCGGAAAGTAATGTCGTTTTCTTACGCTAAATTCAAACACATACATTTTTAACGAGTCTTTATTTTTAATCAATGATGTATTCCCCATCATTGTCAATAACCTTTTGCCATCCAGTGAGTAAATTTTCAATCCCTGATCGATAAAAATTAATTGGTTTTTCGGCAAAATATCTAGAGATGGCATTTTGGATATCGTCCAAATTTGCAAATGTTTTGCCACTTAAAAAGTGTTGCAGCGCTCGGAATAAGTGGAAATCCGATGGTGCAACATCGGGCGAATATGGTGGATGAGGCAGCACCTCCCACCCCAATTCATTAATTTTTTCTAGAGTTCGCTTTGCGCAGTGCGGTCTTGCATTGTCATGTTGGAGAATGACGCCTTTTCGGTTGACAATTGCTGCCCACTTTTCAATTAAAGATTGATTTACTCGCTGCAATTGTTCTCTGTAGAGGTCTGCAGTAACAGTTTGTCCAGGTTTCAGTAATTCAAAATGAACAATGCCGCGAATACTCCACCAAACACACAAAAGCGCTTTTTTGGGGTGTAAACCTGGCTTAGCAGTACTTCGAGGGTTTTCTTTTGGGGAGAGCCACTGCCTTTTGCGTTTTGGGTTATCATACAGGACCCATTTCTCATCTCCTGTGATCAAGCGATCAAAAAACGCTTCTGTGTTGTGTCGTTGAAGCAATAAGTTGCATGTGATTGATCGGTTAGCCTTATTCTGTTCGGACAGATTATGCGGGACCCAAACACCTGCTCTGCTTACTTTCCCAATCTGCTTCAAATGTTCTTGGATGGTCGACCAAGGTTGGTTGAGACTGTTTGACAATTCCTCGATCGTCTGGCACGGATTTGCCTCCACTTCCGCCCTTAACACGTCGTTGTCTAACGCTGATGGTCTTCCTGATCGATACGAGTCGGAAAGATCAAAATTACCCGATTTGAACTTGGAAACCCACCTTTGGCATTTATGAATGTCCAGTGCATTTGGATAAACATCGCATATGTTTTTGGTAGCAACTGTTGCGTTATTACCCTTGCGAAACTCAAAGAGCATGCAACGCCGGATGTGTACCTCTTCTGGTATTTGGCTGCCATTTTACCCAAAATTACAAAAAAAAAAATTGTAATTCAAATGTCTATAAGTAAAGAAATCACTATGTCTCACAATGTCTTTGGTACGCCTCTGAACCAAACAATGAGCTGACAAATGACAATCAAGTATTGGCATGCGCAGAAACGACATTACTTTCCGGTCCCCCTAATAGTTTATATTTGCTCAAAGTCAAATTGGACCTTTGTGTCTCGCCCTGCTCTACTATATATACATACTTTTTATTAAATTTACTTTAATTCATCGAAACTTGAAACTTTTCAAAAAGCAGGTCAAAGAAGAAATACTTAATTCATATTTCATTTCTCCTCGCAAAAATTTGAAAATTTTGTATAAGTTTAGTAGTATTATTTACAATTATACACAAAATCCAGAATCCAAAAAGAATCTGAAAAACTTGAAACGTAATTAATAAGCCGAAAGACCAAAAAAACCTTGGATTGGATTATACGATGTTTTCTATAGAAAGTGTATAAAACTTGCAGTTTGATTGTATTGACAAAATATAGACAAACTAATGGGATTTATTGTTTTTATAATACCTAATTGTATACCGCATTCAAACAACACATCCTTATGCACTTAAAGTATTAATATTTTTGATTCTCTAGAAATGGTTTAGAATATACCTTATTTAGCAAAACAACGTTTGCCGGGTCAGCTAGTCACTTATAAATATCATAAGTTCAAATTAAACACAATATTAAACACACTATTCTTCATATAAAAATTTATTTTCCCGCAACTCTGAGATGTTATCTACACGAAATTTACACAACTGCCTACTTAAAGTTACATTTCGGCTTCATATAACATTTTATTTAGTGGGAATTCCCTTGATTTTGAATATGATCAATAGAATTTCTTTATATGTGTGAGTGCAAGTCAAGTTATTACTCGTTCGGATTTTTCGGGAATTACTGCAATGTGTGCAATTTATCGATAAAAGATTATTACAATGTTGACTCTTCTTATGTTGAATGCAATACAATTGAGAATATGATTCATTATATGGTGTGTATCTACTATATAAGTTATTAATATTAACTAATTAGGCGTTGGGCCATAACAATACACTTCGCAAATTCTCAATATGTTGTCAGCGACACGCAATTTAAACAACTGCCGTTCTTACTTATGTAAAATGATTTATATATAATAAATAAAGAATTCTATATCATCGATTGTATATTATGTTTAAAGATCATTGATAGCGAATTCGATATAGGAACGAGGCACGTGAACACAGAATAACTATTGTAAATGAACCCTTTTATTAGCTGGCTGCCACACATAATATATAAACAATCGCTTTATCTTGCCTCAGCTGAGTCGGCAATACACAATACCTAGTTTGGAAACTGAAACTTGATATGTGTTTTGCGTAAGTTGAATTTTTGATAGAATACTGGTAACACCGTAATACCGGTATTATTTGCATCAATACCGGTATTGAATACCGGACAAAAATCGTCCGGAATCCCGGTATTCGGGATTACGGAATCCCGATATTGTAAGCCCTACTTGTTGTACAGCAAATGAAGAAATCTATTTTTTTTAAAAAATGTTTTCTTTCATTTTTATTCAAATCAAAAATATTTCATCTAATATTTTCATATCATTTCAGTACATGTTAATGAGAACACAAGATCCAGATGAGGGAGTGGCATTAGAGGCTTGTGAATTTTGGTTATCCCTAGCTGAGCAACCAATTTGTAAAGAAGCACTAGCTCCCCATCTTCAGAGACTTGTTCCAATCCTAGTCAGAGGAATGAAATATAGCGAAATTGATATTATATTTTTAAAAGTACATGCCTCAAAACTCTTATATTTATTTTTAATTTTCATAAGAAAAAATATTCATGAAGTCAATATTACAGGGAGATGTAGAAGAAAATGAGATGGTGCCGGATAGAGAAGAAGATATTCGACCTCGTTTTCACAAATCAAAATCTGTGAAGCACACCGTTAGCACTGGCGGTGATGCCGAAAACAACTTAAATCATTCAACATCCGAAGATTTTGATGATGATGATGATGACGATGACTGTATTGATGACGATAGTTCTTTATCAGATTGGAATTTGAGAAAGTGTTCGGCAGCTGGCTTGGATGTTCTTGCTAATGTTTTCAAGGATGACCTTCTGCCTGTATTAGTGCCCATTCTAAAAGAAACACTATTTCATAATGAATGGGAAATAAAAGAAAGTGGTATACTTGCTTTGGGTGCTATTGCAGAAGGTTATTATTATTTTTTAGTTATTATGTTCCTACAAATATTATTTAAATTCTGACTATTTCTATTTTTAGGATGCATGAATGGAATGATACAACACTTGCCTGAATTAATACCATACCTTATCAGATCACTAGGAGATAATAAAGCACTTGTTAGGGCCATCACATGTTGGACTTTATCTAGGTATTCACATTGGGTAGTAAGCCAACCACATGATTCATACTTGAAGCCTTTGATGACTGAAGTAAGTACTTAATTATGAGTTATCAATTATAGTTTTTTTTTTAAAACTTAACTTCTCATAGAGTAAGTTATGGTAATCGCACAAAAATCTAAAATGAAAATTTGTTCAGTTAGAAAAGATGGATGTGTGTGTGTGTGTGTGTGTGTTTTGTTTGGATACAATTTTTTGTGCACGATCTTGGGCGCACTGATCAACCGATTTAAAATATTTAAAAAAAAAAAATTCAATTTCATCTAATGGGGAGACGTGCTGATTAGTTTTTCGAAGACAGTTTCAGCCATTTTGGAGATACGGAGCAAAAAGTGCAGAAAGTATAAATTAGTTTTTTATGGGAACAGACCATCCGATTTGAACGACCATTCAGTTCGTACAGATTGGGAGAGGGTACTGGTTAGTTTTTAAGAAAGGTAGGCCTAGCAGTTTTTGTTGGCGTATGGTTTGACAAAAAATGATCATGCAGAGAAACGAATTATCCAATTAGAATCATTCAAAAAAAATTTTACTTTTGTTAGTGGTGTGAAAAAATGATTAAATTTCAGGCAGGTCTAACGGTTCCAAAGTTATCAATAAAAAAAAAACATTTCTAAAAAATTTCTTTAACCTTTTTTTCATTCTCTTAATTTTTCAAAAATTTCAAAAATTGAAAATTTTCGAAAAATCGAAATTTTCACTCATTTCTTTTTATCATTTTCATTTTGATTATATTGTCATATTTCTGTACATTACTTTTTCCACAATTTTATTCATTTTATATAAAAAATCGACTATCTTCTGCTTTTCTCAAGCATATTGTTTGCTTAAATCTTATGAAGATCAGGTTTTTGAAAGATCTCCTGAAGATGGAGCGTACCTAGTTCCGAAACGTCGACAGTAAATAAAAAAATGTTTTTTAAAACTTTTTTGTTTTTTATTACTTTTTGGTTCTTTGTTCGAAGCAAGAATTCATATATATGATGATAGTTTTGTCGACGTTGATACATATTTGAAATATTTTTTTGCAGCCCAATCATTGAATTAAAAAAAGATTAAATAAAAAAATTATTTATTCCATTAAACGTTTTGACACTTGATGTGTGTCATCATTCAGTAATCAAACCAGGAAAAACACAGAAAAAATTAATAATGTAAAATTTAATGAACACTAAAATTGTATAAAGAATATTATACTAATATATTAATAAACGAAGAATTAAAGGAGCACATAATGCCCTCCTACATTGCATGTATTCAATCGTAGTGCACTATGAGAACTCTATTTCTCTTTTCATAATGTACTACAATTGAATACATACAATATAGGAGGGCATTATGTGCTCTTTAAGTTCGTGTGTGTGTGTACATGTGAACAGATTTTTTGCCGTAAGTCGACGTTTTCTCAAAAACGGCTGGACCGATTTCAAAAATTTAAGCCATTCGATGTATCTCGATGAGGAGTGCGACGATTGGCCAAGCCGTTTTTTTGATAAATAGCAGAAAAGTGAAATATTTTTCGTCCACGTTTTAGCCCGCAATTCTGAATCGATTTTGAAAATTCAAAAACCACTCGCAAGATATTGGTTGGGAATCGTGCTGATTAGTTTGTGGTAAAGATCGGCCGGGCCGTTTTCTTGTAATAAAGTGTTAAAAAAAATCTACGATATTTATTATTTTTTTGACGGTAGATACTATAGTCTTCTAGATCATACTAAAATATTACGGTCCTACGACAATTGGTTTAACTTTAAAAATTCGTCAAAGTTTGCAAAAATTAGTATCGTTTTTTGGCATTTGTCAAAATTAGACCTTTCATCGACGTTTGCTTAAAAACGCCTGTACCCATTTCAGAAATTTAAAAGCCATTTGATGTATCTCGATGAGGATTATCGTTTCTCTGTTTTGTGCGGCGATCGGACGAGCCGTTTCTTTGCAATTTGGAAAAAAGTGTTAAACTTTTCGTCCACATTTAGGCTCATACTACCGAATCGATTTAAAGAAATCAAAAACAACTCGAAAGATATCAGTTGGGAATGATACTGATTAGGTTTAGGTGAAAATCTATCTAGCCGTTTTCTTGTAATTGACTGTTGAAAAAAAAATTTAAGACGGTTTTTATGGAACATTTTTTGGCGATATATATGTTACGCTCATTTGGCGAATGTGAGTTCAACTCGCGCATGTGCGGGTGAAATACTAATTTATATATTTATATTTATATTTACATAATTTATTTTAGTCATGAGCATATTATTATCCATTATTTATTATTCACTATTAACTATTAACTATTTAGCAATTAACAATTTATCTATTAACTATGAACTATTAACTATTTAATTAATAACTATTAACTATTTAACCATTAACGATTACCTATTTAACTATTCTTAATTCACTATTTACTAATAACTATTCACTATTTGCTATTATCTATTCACTATTTACTATTAACTATTCAGTTATCACTATTCACTATTTACTATTAACTATTCAGTTATCACTATTCACTATTTACTATTAACTATTCAGTTATTACTATTTACTATTTACTATTAACTATTCGGTTATCACTATTCACTATTTACTATTAACTATTCAGTTATCACTACTCACTATTTACTATTAACTATTCAGTTATCACTATTCACTATTTACTATTAACTATTCAGTTATCACTATTCACTATTTGACTATTTAGTTATCACTATTTACTATTAACTATTCACTATTTACTATTAACTATTCACTATTTATAATTCAACTATTTAACTATAAACTGTTAAACCATTTAGTTATCACTATTCACTATTCAATAATAACTATTTACTATTTACTATTCACCATTTACTATTTAACTATTTACTGTTAACTATTTACATTTAACTACTAACTAGTTACTTAAACTAATAACTATTTACCTAAAACTATTAACTATTTACCTATAACTATTAAACTATTAACTATTCACTAATTAACTATTTTAAATTCTATTTACTATTTTACTAACAATTAACTATTAACTATTTACTATTTAATATTAATTATTTACTATACACTATATTAAAACTTTACTATTCAATTATTTACTATTAACTATTTAGTGCGCATGCGCCAAATACACAAGATGTTCATGAGACCGATCCAAGTACGCACGTACACCATTATTTTAAATTGATTGTTTGAGAACTTCACATTCACCTAGCGTTTTGGGGAATGTGCACATTCACCGGTGAATGTGCACATTCACCAAGAGTGCACATTTACCGTAACATATATATATATCATAGAATTTACTGAAATATTACAAGTAGTTTAATTTTAAAAATTCATCAAAGTTTGAGAAAATGAGTAGTTTTTTTTTTTGACATTTGTTAAAATTAAAATTAGACGATTTACTTGGTAAAACGATAGAGTACTTTGTCTTAATGAACATACTAAACCATTAAGGTTCTACGGAAACTGGTTCAATCATAAAAAATGTTGATTTTCGAAAATTTGCTTTTAGAAGATACTCCGAGTTAACGTGTTCGCTCGTTTTCAATTATGTGTTATTAATCCACTCGGAATACTTTTAATCCCTCATAAATTAATTTATTTTTAATTGATTAAGTCGATTATTTACACATATCGGGAAGTTCATGTAACTTGCCTCAAGGCAAAATACCAATATCAATATCAACTAGTTTGTTTTAATTTCGACGATTGGCTGAAAATCAATATTCAAGCTTGACAAATATGTATATATATTGACAAATTCTAGTAATTGGGCATAACAACAATAAAAAACATGAATTTCTTTCAAAAATTTATTTTTAATCCATACGTTTCGGCTATATAATCCTAGCCTTCATTTAGTGGAAACTAAAAAAATAAAATTAAAAACTAAAACAATTGAATCGGAGTGAAAATAAAAAATAAAAAGAGTAAAAAGTACTTACAATTAGTTAATCTTAGTGTTAAATTGGAAAATTTTAATAATCCATGGTATCAGGATATGGTAATGCACTACACTATGTATTATAAACATTAAACTTGTAATTACACAATATTTTCACAAATACTAATTTAAAAACCACAAATGGATAGTGTGTGTGACTGATTGAAGATATAATGGAGAAAGGATTTTTTTAAAAATATTTTTACCAAGATTCTACACATGTGTGGAACGAATTGCGAATCCTTTGCGCGACGCTTTTATTGTTTTGTGAGAAATTTGGAAATACTATCTAAATGAAAAAGATTTGTGTCGCACAGCGCTTACATATGGTATCCTCATATGGGCCGATGTTCTGAAGACTCAAAAAATGGAGAGAATGGCTGGACTTATATACCGTCTAAGTGCGTTAAGAATTGTTCGCTCATTTCGCACCACATGAGGAAGCAATTTGCCCATTACTATAACTACCCTATGGAAAGTTAATATAGTGCTAGAAGAGAACTTTATTATAAAAACCATTCGGCAATTGTTTTTATGATAAATTAAATCAATTTATATGAAATAATGTAATTTTGTAATTTTAGTTGCTTAAGCGAGTTCTGGATCCAAATAAACGTGTTCAAGAAGCAGCATGTTCAGCCTTTGCTACATTAGAGGAGGAAGCTTGCACAGAACTAGTCCCATACTTAGGATTTATTCTTGAAACATTAGTATTTGCATTCACAAAGTATCAACATAAAAATCTCCTTATATTATATGATGCTATTGGTACACTAGCAGATTCTGTAGGACACCATTTAAATCGACCGGATTATATCAACATGCTTATGCCACCTTTAATACAGAAATGGAATGTTTTGAAGGATGAGGATAAAGATTTATTTCCTTTACTTGAAGTAAGTATATATATATTTTCAATTATATTATTACTAAGACAAAATCACAGTTAATTAGTCTTGTAAAACATTTGAGAATTGTCTCAAATTATAACATAGCAAATATTTTGACCATAATTTTATATTAACACCCTAAGCTTACTTGAGCAAACTAATTCAACCAAGACGGTCAGGCCAAACTGAATGTACGCGTTTCATTTAAAGGATTTTACAAAAATAATTATTTGAAATCTTGTTTTCAGTTTTGCTATAAAACTGAAAAATATAACGTTTTTATACCATTTTTGTTTGTTTGAAAAAATACTATACTTTCGAGTTATATTACACTTTTCTGTATGTAAGATGTTTTATTTGTTCAAAATTATTAGTGGATAATTCTTATGCAAGTCAACTTTTCTTCCTTTTTACAAACCTTTTTCAAATTGTGTTTTATGCTAGTTCATTATTTTATTTGAATAAAATGTCTTCTATTTAGTGTTTATCCAGTGTTGCGACAGCATTACAATCTGGTTTTCTGCCGTATTGCGAACCTGTCTATAGGAGGTGCATGTCACTTATTGAGCAAACCTTGCATCAGCACATTGTAAGTATTTTCACAATTTAACTTTAGCAATATTCATAGCTCAACCAATTAACTACTATGAAAATATTATTCATTAAAACTATTCAATTTTTTTGTATAAAGGGTCTGGGCGTGTTTCCATACAGAATTGGTCCCTATTGTCCCAATAAAAAATATTGAAATCTTAAGTTTTTCATACATTGAAATATATTAGTCAGGAGCTTATACGACAAATGAAAATAATCAATAATAATTATTGTTTTATTCGGCGCGTTGGATTTTTTATTATGACTAATGAATATATTTCTATACAAGATATAAATAAATTTTGGTTTTTAATAAATATTTCTATACTTATATACAGGATTTGTCGAGACGCGCGATAACCACGAGCCTTATGCTTGCTCGTCGCTCTTGCATTTAAAGTGGAACCCAAAGTTCCACTTACTTACATTCAAATGAATTTTGAATAACAGAAGAAAAATGTGCAGGCTTTCGAATGATGCTAATATAAAAGTAGTGTCCAAAGAGCCGCACTGGTAGGAAATGGAAAATGAAAAATTATTTTCACCTTTTCATGCACTAATAAATAATTTTTTCACATTATTTGTTATGAACAACATAGACAAGATCAGTGTAAACAGAATGACGTTAACATTTTTTCGAAATCTCTTATATTTCCGACAAAAAGTGAGTTTGAAAAAAGGGGCCACTTTCACATGTTTTCACTCATATCTCTTTTTTTTTTTTTTCAATCAGAATACATGACTATTCTATGAGCTATTTGGCTTATGTCATTCACTCACACACATACACACACACTTGCAAACACACATAAATGATGAGCTACGGATTTGAAATTTGGTATTTCGAATTTTCTCGAAAATACCTATAAAATGGCATAAAAATTATTTAAATACCAGGGTGGGGCCAATTCTGTATGGAAACACGCCCATACCCTTTATACTCATCGCACAGCAACTAGTTAGACATTTTCAGTTTTTATCACCAAGAAACAAGCATAACACAACGTTGCCATAACAACGCTATCTTATCAATAAATTCGGCCCAATTGTTTTTCGTCTTTTTCTCTCTCGCTCCAATGTTCTATCTCTTTCACTCAAACTCACTACTAGTGTAGTAAATTGAGCGGAAAAAAGGGTAAAAACTATGAATTTTTTTACTGTGCTGCGATTTGCATGAAATTTTGGATATAGACTAATCTTGCCCTTAAGTTTAAAAGTGACTCCCCCGCAGGGTTATAACCATCGCTATCCGCCAAGGTCCCTTTATGTATTTATTTATTTATTTACAAGTTGACATTGAGCCATTTTATCGCTAGAAATCGTGTTTAATATTAAAGGATAAAATTGTAAAGTATTTTTAATTCATTTACCTTACAATAAAATTATTTTCAATTCATTGAAAACCCTACAACCCTTGCGAAACAACTTCACTAATTTACCTGTCTATCAATTCACCTGTCTACCAATTTACCTATCAACGTGTTTATCAATCTACCATTTTACTTGCCATCCAATTTACCTGTTAACCAATTTACCTTTTATCCCGCTCTATATGTCTACCAAATAACCTGTCAATATATTTATCTGTCTATATATTCGTCTAGCTACCAGTTGTCCTGTTAAAAAAGTCGACGGAACGGCCAACTCCTACCACTTGTATCTGATATCTGAAAACCCGTCTCGCGATTTACCTAACAATTTTGCAAAGGGTATGGATAAAATATTATTTTGCAAGTGTTCCAAAATATACAATGTTACAACAGACCCTTGAAATAGGCCAGCTGGGTAAACCACGTAAAAAACGAACTAAACACACTACCCCGTGGCGTTTAAACGTACTTTTCAAAGTGATTGTATTTTTAAAACAGTGATCTTTGAAAATTGACCTTGTGCCATTTTTTTTAGCTCGCATCGGATCATTGAGGACTTTTGAGATCTCTTTTATAATTGTATTTTAAACAATTTTGCCAAGTTTCAGCCCATTATGATTTAAGTAACCTTGAATGCCTAAATTCACCGGGCTATGTATTGAAATTGTTGAGTATTATTATTCGAAATAATTATTTTTCTACTCTTTTTCACGTCATTTATTGAAAATAGTCATGTATTGAAATTGATAGCTAATAATTGTTATTTTCCCTATTCCGCATGGAAAATCATAATTATTATAATTTGTGACATTCTATATGTTCTGTATGCGTAGACAAATTTCCGTAGGAAAAGTTATAGTAATGAGCCAAAAATCGAAAATGAAAATTTTTGCATTTTATCACGTTTTGAAGGTGTCTGAACATTTTGGCATACCATTATAAAAATGGAAGTGTATGTGTGCGTGAGTGATTTTTTTGTATTGCGAAGGAAATTTATGCATCCCAGACTGGTCTTTTGTCCAGTCCAAATGAGCGAAGTCCCATTTGCCCTTCCTCTTACCGTAGGACGCACGTTAATTAGCACATCTTTCGCAAATCTGTCTATGGCGTTCCAAGCAGCTTCAGTTGTCAGCATCACTTCTGCAATAGTATCTGGAGTAATTCTGCGCCTCAATATCTCTTCTACATCGTCCCGTAGAGCACTAAATAGTGGGCACATAAAGAACACGTGCTCAGCATCTTCGATTTCGCCCAAACATTATGGGAAATCCGGCGAGCTATTGTGTGTGTATGTGACCGACACAGATCAGCCAATTTGCAGATTAGTTTTTGGCAAACGCAGGATTCAGTCGTTACGGAGATACGAAGCAAAGAGTGTTTTTGAGAAAACGGAGTATCCGATTTGAATGATCCAAAAAACATTCAATTTGTAATGATTGGAAGAAGTGGTGATTAGTTTTTGGCAAAGGTTCAGCCAAAACTTTTCCAAAAACTAATTTGTAGCATATATCAACACTTTTTCAGATTTGACGTTGTCCTGTACCCATGTCTACAATTTCTTAATATCATCATATACTAATATTTACCGTTCAGTTAAAAATAATAATTAGTGTTTTTTTAATTATGAGTGAATTACCAAAATATGAGTGATGTTAAATGTAGTACTGCTCTAAATAAAATGATGATTCTCAATTCCCACAGTTAACTTTTTAATTATTCCTTTAACAAATTGTATATTAAAAATTATACACAATTTATAGAATAAAGTTTATTGTGAAAAAAGCTAAAGATATAGACTAAAAATCATTGTTATGCTCACATTCATAGATATATATATATATATATATATATATATATATATATATGAAATACAAAAAGGCTAAAAATTATAAAATATAGAGACAACTAGCTGTAAGTGGAATTCTGTCTTAAGGCAATTAGGGCATCGTGCCTTAAGGCAATTTCTGGAACTTTCCGTACCGCAATTCAAAATTCGAGTAATTAAAAATAATCAATAATAATCAATAAAAGTTAATCAATGATTTGAAACATACCGTGTTGAAAAAAAAACGTAATTTCTGAAATATATTATAATTAATTAATAATATATTATATATATTATATATCAATTATTAATATATAATAATTAAAAAATACAATAATCAAATAATTCAAAAAATATTTTAACATTAAAAATATAATTTTTTTTTTTCAAAACCTGCCTTCCACGAAAACTAATAGTTTCTTCTCATCGTAAACAAAAGCAAAATGTTAATTAATGTTTATTCTCATCATCCGATTAGAATAATTCGCTTACTCAAAAACGGCATGATCATTTTTTGCACCGTCTGCTCCAACAAACTAGTACTAAAATGACAGCGCGACCGCGCTTCATACCTGTTCTAGAGACAAAATATCAATACGCGATAGCGCGCGTAGCACTAAAACAAAATAATATATGTATTCATTATTAAATTTTATATAAAATATCTGATACTCTGATGTGCATATGTCTAATGTTCATTTTTGACCGCCAAATGGCTCATTTTTTTTACTTTTTTCTCCATATCTCCAAAAATTTGAACAGTTCTTCATTTAGTCAATACGAATAAAATGTTTTTTGAATTATTCAAATCGGACGCTCCGTTCTCTTAAAAACTGAGTTACCGTTTTTGGCACTTTTTGCCCTGTATCTTCGGAACGGCTAGACCTGCCTTCGCCAAAAACTAATTAGCACGTCGCCTTATCAATAGGAATCGAATGTTTGTTGAATTATTCAAATCGGTTGACCCGTGTTCCCGAAATCGTCGACGAAAATTTGTATCCGCACATACATACATACACGCACACACACACACATACATCCATTTTTTCTAAGGTATGTCAAAATGTTCAGAAGGTTTTGAAACGTAAAGATATATAAAAATTTTCATTTTCGATTTTTTTGCGATTACTATAACTTGCCCTACGGGAAGTTGAAAATTTGAAGATAATATATAAATAAAGGGGCGAATGGTACTCGGGATAGCAAAAATCGAAACAATTCATACGCGAGACAGTTTACTTCGTAGTAAAAACAGAATATTTGTATGTGGCGAAAAGCTCTGGGGCAAGAGCAAGTCCCGGCGCGAGAGAGAGTCTCGTTCCTCGTTCGGTATGCTTAAGTGGTTAATAAATAATTAAAGATAAAAAAAAGTCTTTTGTACACATTTATATTTAGATCTACACATTGTGTATGAAATATTTTCAGGCTAATACAACGAGCCCAGAGCAGTTTGAAGCCCCTGACAAAGATTTTGTGATCGTCGCGCTTGATCTGCTATCTGGACTAGCTGAAGGGTTGGATGGACACATAGAAAAATTGGTCGTTAATAGTAATATCATGCAACTGTTATTTCAGTGCATGCAGGATCCTATGCCAGAGGTAAATACACACATATGCACGGGCCGGTAAATACACACACAGGGCCGGTCCTGGGGTCCTTAGCGCCAGCATGCAACTTTTTTTTCTAGCGCCCCCCTCCCTATTAATTTTCACCGTTTTAACAGTTCATCATTAAAATTATATAAATATTTACATATTTTTTAAAAATTAATTTTCAATTATTCTGGATTTAGTACACAAAAAATTAGATATAATCCAGAAGGGTATAAAATATATTGATTTTAAATTTATTTATTATTATCGATATCAATAAATAAAACAATCCCTGTCATAATTTTACATTTTAGTAATATTCAATATGTAGTAAATTGATTAAGGATGTAAGTCGACTACCATAGCAAAAGGATTAATATTTTTGTTAGATTAAAGTTATAGAATTTAAGAAATGCATTTCATAAATAGTATTTATTTTTAATTTGATACTATTTCTGAAATGCATTTCTTAAATTCTATAACTTTAATTTAACAAAAATATCAAGTGAAATAAATAAATTAATTTTTAATTATTATGGATTTAGTGCACAAAAAATTAGATATAATCTAAAAGCGTATATAATATATTGATTTTAAATTTATTTAGAAAATCCAGGCAATTCGGGTGTTGATTATAATCAAGTATTTTGAAATATTCAATTATTTTTAACGTATGTGCAATATTAATATTTAAAAAAACTAGCATTTAATTTTCAAACATAACACTCGTATTTCATGTTGGATTTTTAAAATTTTAATTTAATTTAATTTTTCATCATTTACAATATCCAAAAATGCGTCGTAAACTTCTCCTTATTGATATCGTAAGAGCCGTCATATTCAGAGTATCAGCTTATTGTTTTAAAGTTAAATTTTCAACGTATTTTAGAAGTATTATTCAAAAATCAGTAAAAAAAAGCAAAGAAATTACACATTTCTTGAACAATATTGAGAAAAAACTTATTATATTTGATATGTATTATTTCTGTATAGTTAACAATTATTAAAGTTAGAGTATGGGCACCACTAGGTATAAAACAAGCCTTAAGATTTTCGTTCTTCAACATTCAAAGTTCAACAGATGCGAAACATTTGCAACAAAAGCAAAAGTTACAATTCAATTTCTCGGAATAAACAAGTCATTTTCTAAGCACAGACTCACTATTTTTTATAATCAGTTTATATTTTTTAACAAGTCCGATTCAACAAAATCAGCTCGCAATTTTTCGTCAATAATGCCCAACAACTAATTTAATCTTTCGCAGGTTTGCGCTTATAAGTAGAGTAAGAAATAAACAGAGCTGTTATTTACTAATTTGCAGAATTAATAATCGTTTAATTGTTTCTACTGATATCACATTGCAAAATAAATATGCTTTTTGTGTCTCCGTATCCCTAGTTAAGTTAAATTATTTATTATAATTTATTGAGTACTCTAGATTTTAAATAAATAATTCTAGATTTTATATAAAAAAATCTAAATATTATATTATAAATTTAATTTCCGAAACTCGTTTTGGCGCCCACTAAGGCTTGCGCCCGCATTTTTTGCATGCATTGCATGCAAGGCAGGACCGGTCCTGTATATATATATATATATATATATATATATATTAGGGTGGTCCTTAAAATGGTCATTTTCGAATTTCCTTGCTCTCAGGGGCTCAAATGGTTCCAAATTGATAAAAAACAATTCTCTGAAAGTTTTAGCTCTTAATATTAACGTTTAGATAGAGCGCAATTCAATCAAAGTTTTGTATGGAAATAGCATGGAAAAATTTTCAAAAATTGTAAAAATGTTTTTTAGATGTAACTTAGCGAACAAATGAATTAATAAAACTCATTCATTTGTCGCTAAGTTATACCTAACACATTTTTTTTAAATTTTCAAAATTTTTTCCATGCTCTTTCCATACAAACTTTGATTGAATTGCGCTCTATCTAAACGTTAATATTAAGAGCTAAAACTTTCAGAGAATTGTTTTTTATCAATTTGGAACCATTTGAGCCCCTGAGAGCAAGGAAATTCGAAAATGACCATTTTAAGGACCACCCTAATATATATATATATATATATGATTTAGTAGTTAATTTTGATGTTGAAATATATGAGTGAGTTCTTGAGGGCGATACATCAAACAAAGAAAAGCCAAAGATTTATAAAATAATCTTTATTTCCAAACGTTTTGACAATCAATTTAATGTCATCATCAGTGAATCTAAAAACAGTATGAAAATTAGCATATCTAGGTAATTATAATATATGTGGATTGGTAAAGTAACTATACAATAAGAGAAAAATTAACAAATAGCAACACTTAACAACAAATCAAATATAAAAGATAGGAAAGGTAGTAGAGACTAGAATTAAATAAATAATTAAAAAGTATAGGCAAAAATATTTAAGTACACTCATATAAACTTACGCATATATACATATATGTATTTGTATGTATGTATGTATGTATATATATATGTATATTGCTTATTTACATGTATGTTTGTATGTATGTGCATATTTATATGTGTATACATGTAATTATATATACGTATATATGCATGTATGTATGTATATATATATATATATATATATATATATATATATATATATGTATATATATATGTATATGTATATGTATATATATATATATATATATATATATATATATATATTTGTGAGCATTTATGTACATATGTATATATATATATATGTATTGTGTGTATATATATATATATGTATATATATATGTGTGTATATATGTGTATATACATGTTTATGCGTATATGTATGTGTATACGTGTATAGCTATAGTTACATAGATAGGTATGAGTATATGTATGGTTCATACATGTACATGTACGGCGTTGTGAATATGCATGCACGTTGCATATATGTATATACGTATATTTATATGTGTATAGTCTTACATGTACATGTGTACATATATAGGTATATATTGTTGTATCTGTATATGTATATGTGTATTATATGTTTGTATGTGTGTGTATATGGATATATGCATGTATATATATATATATGTATATATATATATGTATATGTGTATATGTGTACGTACATATATGTATATATGCGTAAGTTTATATGAGTGTACTTAAATATTTTTGCCTATACTTTTTAATTATTTATTTAATTCTAGTCTCTACTACCTTTCCTATCTTTTATATTTGATTTGTTGTTAAGTGTTGCTATTTGTTAATTTTTCTCTTATTGTATAGTTACTTTACCAATCCACATATATTATAATTACCTAGATATGCTAATTTTCATACTGTTTTTAGATCCACTGATGATGACATTAAATTGAATGTCGAAACGTTTGGAAATAAAGATTATTTTATAAATCTTTGGCTTTTCTTTGTTTGATGTATCGCCCTCAAGAACTCACTCATATATATATATATATATATATATATATATCTATATTGAAGTATGTGAGTTTGGTGTTGATATATATTTTGATGACTTATTTAGAATTGGGCAGTAACACCAAGTAAAAAAAACTAAAGTAGTTTTGAAATACTTTATTTTATTCATCCATACGTTTCGGTCTTCATCGAGACCGTCATTCAGTGGAAAAACTAAAAGATTTTATATGATGTAGGAGGAAAATAATATAAAGTTATAGAACTTATATATATAAGTACTTACAAAAATTAATTATACAAAAATACACTACCCTATAAACACAGTGTTAATCGTTATCGTTAAGTTATCACAGTGTAATGGTGTAGTGTATTTTTGTATAATTAATTTCTGTATCTACTATCAATAACAATAAACATATTTTCTTACTAAGATGTCGTAAAGAGAAAATTATTCCAAATTTTTATCAAATTAAACTTAATAAATTTGAACATTTTAATTATTCATCACAAGATTATAAGTTAACTAGTTTTAGTTTAAGACTCATGTCCTTCTCAATAGAAAATTGTATTAAAATTAGTCATAATTTGAAAACAATAGTCGAACGATTAACGAATTGGTTGTCAAAAGTAGTTGAAATCGAAATTTTAAATAACTTCTTATATTTTGAAGACCTCAGAAATAATAAACTCTCATCAAAACATAAAAACTCTTAATATGAAAAGTTATACCAACAAAAATTAGAAAAAACAAAAATCACATTAGATGATAGCACTATTATAATGAAGTGGTTAAAGAATTGTTCAAACGTTGACCTCCCTGAAAGTTCACGCTATTTTTGCCCTAGGCCCGAATTTTGCTGTTCCTATAAATTCTTACAAATTCAATTTCATTGAAATTGTCAGTAACTTAGCAAATTGTTTACAACAAATTAAAGAACCTAAACATCAAAATTTAACCAGGTCCATCTTTTGCAAAAAAATCATTTCATTTACAAAATCTTCTTGCACAAATCTTGACTATAACTATATTTTAAGAGATCTGAAACAATGTAATTGTTTTTTTTTGAAAAATAATCCAGAAATCATTGTCACTAGAGCCGACACAGGAAACGTAACCGTTGTGTTAAACAAAAAATATTACCTCGAAAAAGTTTCAAATTTACTCTCAGATAACAAAACTTACAACATTGCTGTTAATGATCCTACAGAACACATAAACCGTAGTTGCCACAAGTTTATCGTTACTAATAAACAGTTACCCAAACAGCTTCCAATTTAAAAAACTTACATCCTTACCACCCACGACTATACCTGTCTTTCAAAAATACATAAACCTGAATTACCTTTCCGCCCCTTTGTATCAGACAATAACTCACCACTTTATAAATTATCAAAATATATAAATAATTCTATAACTTCTGTCACCAAACAATCCCCATTTCACATAAAACATTCATTCGAGTTTGTCGAAAAACTTAAACAAATCACAGTTCCAAATGATTACGTATTAATTAGTTTAGACGTAGTATTTCTGTTCACAATTGTTCCAATAAACCTTATTCTTGAAGCCATAACTAGAAAATGGCATGATTTATCCTCCCATACTACAATTTCCCTACATTGGTATCGAGAAACAATAAAATTTTTAATTTCCAACACATATTTTGAGTTCAATAATGCATTCTATTTTCAAACATTTGGTACGCCAATGGGATCTCCAGCTTCTCCATCTTTAGCTGAAATAGCCCTTCAACACATAGAATCCACAATATTAAATTCCTACAATAAACAATTTTTTTACTACCGATATGTTGATGGCATCATAACATTCATCTCAAACAGTGACACAACAACTCTTGTAAATTCTTTTAATGCCT